CTAACGCTGTTCTCCTCAGCTCTCTCCCTGAGCAATCAGCAACAAGCTGCTGCCTCTGCCGCTGTGGTTCCTTAGGGCTGTGGGCACTCTGACCAAAACAAACCTGGACCTATGGTAGGAGAAAGAGGGGTCAACAATCGATGCTTGAAATAAGTAGTCTTCATCATTTGCCGGTCACGGCCAATGTAAGTCTAGTTCACATAGGTATTTTTATAAATAGTATGTTATTAGTCTGTGTAGAAGTCTAACTTGCTTCAGTCCCATTGGCATCATCTCTTCATTGATGCTGGTCTGATTTCTCACAAGACACACCTGCTCAGCTCTGCCTCGTCCTGGTTTCCACTCATCTGATCCACCTGCACCTATATATACCGAGTGAGATCCATTCCAGCATTCTGTTCCTAACTTCCTGCATGTTTGCCTGAGCTGATCTGTTCCTGTTTCTAAGCCTGAACGCTTTCTGATATGAAAGCCTGCCTGTTACCGGGCCTAAAACTATGCCCTGACTCTCCCTTGGCTTGCCCCTCAATTCTATCTTGAGATCGTATCACCTGGCCTCAACCCTGGACCTGCTCAAAAAACCTGCTTTGGTTCATCCTTTTGCTATTTATGCTGGATTTTGCTCTCAAGGTTCTGAACCAATACATTCCCGAAGACACTCTGGATGAACTTTTGAGCTCCATGGCATCACATGCCAACTGATGACACTGGAGATTCTCTGAATCTTCTTTATAGATGCTGGAGATCGGCCTGTTTTTCAGTGTAGTCCTGTTTCTCTGACCGTGACTGGCTGGATGTGCTCTCTTCATCCTCTGACATGGGAGCTGGCTCGGAGCTCGTCTGCCTGGCTGTGTGTTTCCTGGACCGGGCCGCCTTTTACAGCTGCTTTTTGTATCACTGCTTCTATCTCCTTAAACCCCAGTCGGCCTCAGCAGATGGCCGCTCACACTGAGCCTGGTTCTGCTGGAGGTTTCTTCCCCTTAAAAGGGAGTTTTTTCCTCTCCACTATCGCTACAAGCATGCTTAGTGTGAGGGATTGCATCTGAGTCAATGCAATCAACTGGTTTTCCTTAGATAGAAAACTTTGAATCAATTTGACTGCATGATCTGGTTGAACTGTAAAGTGCCTTTAGATGACGTGTGTTGTGAATTGGCACTATAGAAATAAACTGAATTGAATTGAATTTGGATTCAAACGCTCACCAGGTCTGATATCCAGAATTCTGTCGCTGACTTCATTCCACAGATTATTTCCTGGTCACTAATATTTCCTCTCTCATTAAAGGGACGTCATACAGGCGCCGCTTTGTTTTAAAAATATATAAATATAAAAAATATAACCGCTGATGTCTGGGGGAGAGTGATTCGCCTACATGTTATGAATGCTGGCGTACCATAAATGATAAATTAGGAACAGTTTAGTTTGTACCTAAAGTCGTTGCCCATAGGAAGACGTAACTTGGCCAATGTAAAAAAAAAATGGCGTTTCCCTTTAAAGAGGTTGAGACATCCAGCTCCGGTCTCAGACTTGTCTTTCACGTCCTGCTTCAGTTTTCTATACAATGAACTCTTAAACCATCTCTCTGTGTTCTGGCTGAATTCTGGGTCCTCAGATTCGTTAATAGCGATCTGCTGTAGCACAAAAGATGTCTGCCTCTTTAAATTCAAACCGACTCCTTTGTAATTATAAATAACAACTTCTAAGGCAAGGCAAAGATATAGACTTTCAGTTTATAGGTAATAATAATGTAACTATTACACACTGTACCTTTAAAGCATGACACTGCATGCTGTCTTTTTAAACTAAATACTGTAAATTCTGCTTATTTGACTTATAACATCAGAACCCACTTTGCTGTTCCGTAGCAGTTGTCCTTAATGGTTCCTCAGCAATTCGCCAGATTTAGTT